AAGGCATCAATCCACATTAGAATGTAATACTCCAAAGTACAGGAATGTGTAGGAAATAGAAACCATGTCTTACCTCAAACCTGCAACAAACCACCCCTTTCCAAAAGTTCTCCCACATTTTTTTGGATCATCCATTCTTTGGCAGAAAAAAAATCTGGAATATTTCAGGGGCTTTCAAACAAACAAAATACAGAAGAGTCCCAGAATGATTTTACAGGTGAGTAGTGCAAGGTTGTGTACTACTCCCTCCAAAGCAGCTCCCAGCATGGCAATTCCCACCAGTCCACCCATCTCCTGATCTTCCCAGCATTTTTCCTACTACTTCTACTGATGCCCTCAGCTTTTCCCAAACCACTTCTGCCCAGAACTGCATTTATCCAATCCTGTTAGCCTTCTGCAAGGCACTGAAGACCTGGCTGTTCCCCCAGGCATTTGGGTCAGGGTGGAGATGAGCTCTGTTACTATGGATGATTAATAGTTAATCAAATGTTCCTTGGGTGCCATGGATTATGTTTGGGGGTCTTGTTTGTTTTTAATGTTGTAAGCCCCCAGAGTCACTTGTGTGAGAAGGGCAACTATAAGGAAGGGAAGGGAAGGGAAGGGAAAGGGAAGGGAAGGGAAGGGAAGGGAAGGGAGGCTGTATCTGGCACAAAGAAACTTGCTTCATTCTATGTACAGACCAAGCACCTGAACCACCTGTGTTTCAGTTTGGGCAAAGACCATCCAAAACAAGGTGTTTTATGCACAGAAAACTAGAGAAGCATAATGTGTATCATCTATGAAGGGGCAGGGGAAAAAAGGATCAGGCATAGGACAGCCCATACTAACTGACTGTAATGGTGAACATGTGGCTGAGAGAGACACTGAGAAGGTCATAAATGCAGGCACTGGTCTCAAAGTTACTTCTTCATCACCATCATAACTGTGAATGATCACTGTCCGAGGCAGTCACTAAATGAGGACTGCCTGTACTGTTGGGGGCTAATTTGGAACCAAAAAAAACTGGCAGTGGCTTTTTAGGACAGAAAGCCAGCATGATGTAGTAGTCAAGGTGTTGGACTGGCACTAGAAGAGTCAGGTTCAAGTCTACCCACAGCCATGGAAACTCGCTGAGTAACTTTAGACTGGTCACTCTCTCAGCCCAAGTGACTTCAAAAAATTGCTGTGGGGGAAAAAAATGGGGAAAAGGAGCCTTACGCTCCTGAAAAGGTAGGACATAAATTTAGCAAATAAATTTATGAAATTTTGTTTTACCCTATGTGTCATGCTCCATTCAATAAAGGGAGTTAACAGATTCTACAAATGAAATGTACTCAACTCTCATGGTCTTTCAAAGAAGAAGAAAGAAGAGCCTGTCTGGTTTGGGAATTTAAAGAGGTTTTCAAAGGTACCTTCTAGATAAATAGGGGATCCAAAGGATTAGGAACAATCATTGTGTATAAAATGGCAGCAGCAATGATGGCAAGCACACATGAAGAGCATCAGAAGCACAAGACTAAGAGAGGGAAGATGGTTGTGGAGTGCTTCACCAAGTACCCGCTGCAGAACAGGTGGACTGTATGGTTCTTCAAAAATAACAAGAGAAAAACTTGGCAAGACAACTTGCAGCTTGTCACCAAGTTTGATACTGTGGAAGATTTCTGGGCACTGTATAGCCATATCCAACTAGCTAGCAAGCTGACTTCTGGCTGTGATTACTCTCTTCAAAGATGGTACTGAACTCATGTGGAAAGATAACTAGAACAAGCATGGTGGTCACTGGCTTATCACATTGGCCAAGCAGCAGCAGCATACAGAACTTGACTGTTTCTGGTTAGAGACTTTGTTGTGCCTGATTAGAGAGATGTTCTGTGACTACAGTGATGATGTCTGTGTGGCATCAATATCCATGCCAAAGGGGATAAAATTGCCATTTAGGCCCGGGAGGCAGAGAACTGGGATGGAGTAATTCATATTGGGCACATGTATAAAGAACACCTGGGCCTCTCTTCAAAAGTGGTAATTGATTATCAGGCTCACGCAGACACAGCTACCAAGAGTGGCTCCCTCATGAAGAACAAATTTGTAGTGTGAGCCAACTGGGCTTGAACTCTACCTTTGGCAGGATGGATGATGGCTAAAGATAGGTTGCATGAAGGTTTAAGCATGAGTCTGCTCTTCCCATTAAAATGTTGTAACCAAACATTCTAAAAAAAAAAATCTAGGTGTCCTGGTGAACCACCACTTAAGTATGAGTCAGCAGTGTGCTGCAGTTGCCAAAAAAGCCAACACAGTCCTGGGCTGCATCAACAGAGGGATAGTATCAAGATCAAGGGAAATGATAGTACCACTCTACACTGCACTGGTGAGGCCACATTTGGAGTACTCTGTCCAGTTCTGGTCAGCACAATATAGAAAAGATGCTGAGGCCCTAGAAAGAGTGCAGAGAAGAGCAACAAAGATTATAAGGGGTCTGGAGGCTAAATCTTATGAAGAACAGCTAAAAGAACTAGGTATGTTTAGATTAATGAAGAGAAGACTGAGGGGAGACATGATAGCAGTCTTCCAATACTTGAGGGGCTGCCACACAGAAGAGGGCATCGATTTATTCTCCATAGCACCTGAGGGTAGGACAAGAAGCAATGGGTGGAATCTCATCAGAGGGAGATCCAACCTGG